GTCGCTCACACAAATTAACTATCTACTGAGCTGTTGCAAACGGAAGACTCATACTTTCATGCAACTGCCATCAGTGTACATAGTCGTGGATGATACCAACACACAGCTGTGCCGTGCACACACGCCGATGTGACATACAAAAACACATAGACAAATGCCGTGCACTGGCACACTCCAGTCCTACAGACGTATCAAAGTCAAACACATGCGCATATGTTTTAGGGTTTAGGGTTTTGTGCCAAACACACGCGCGTGTGTGAAACACAATACGTACAGTTGCACTGTACGTACGCATTCCATTGAACCAATTCGCCTGTACACACACACTAATATATATGAATATAAACACACACACACATATATATATATATATATATATATATATAAACACACACACACAGGCATGCCTCACTGCAGCCACTCAGCTGTACTCGCCAGGTGCTGCATTGCACATGTGAGTGAGTCTGTAATTCATCTGCACGTACCGTCGGTGTGCCATGCGTTCACATAGGCGTGTGTTCCGAATAAGCTTGTATGTTCGGTACCTCGGAGGTCTCATCAGAGTGTTTGGCATATAGGTATCTATGTCATATGTACGCTTAGGTGTGCTACAAACAAGCATGTATGTTCGGTACCTCGGAGGTATCATCAGAGTGCTTGGCAGATACATATCTATGTCATACCCACGCTTAGGTGTGCTATAAACAAGCATGTATGTTCTGTATCCACGCATAGATGTGTCACAAATAAGTATGTGCTTTGTACACACACACAGGCGTGTTGTGCATATACGTATCTAGATCGGATACATACATAGTTGTATCGCATAAACTCACCAGACACATCTCTGTCCTCGCTTTGATGCCTTCGGGATTATCGGGTCGGAAGAAATCGTGATTTTGGAACGATCCCAACCGGTCTCTTCTGTACGAGCCAATATTGAAGACCTTTGCTTCGTAACCAATCCATTTGAGGTATCTGGCGAGCTGAATTTCGGACGAAACATGAAACCAGATGCAATGTAAGTCTCGAACTTGGCAAGAAACCAAATGTTTGATGTAGCTATTATTGATATAGCTATCACTCGGCACAGCCTGCCGTTTATGGCTATCCTTTCAGGTTGTATGCGCTCGATATGCCATACTAATGCGACTAATACAGAAAAAAAGGCCCAACTGAGAACTGGATCGCCTCGAAGTTGCACATCGACCGTCCCATAGTGGACTTGAAAAGGTGCAAACGGTGCCCAAAATATAACACACAGGACACCAGACAGCCCATAAATCGGACGCGACAACATACGAATGGCATACGAACACGACCAATGTAATGCATACACCTACACACATCCATGATATTAATCCATGAGCTTCATACATTCATACATATTCTCATCCATGATATTATAATCCATGAGCTTCATACATACTTTGATGATAATTCAGTAGCATGCGTATATTTCGCGAATCATATTTGACGTCTATTCACAACCATGGTAATAGTCTATGAGAAAGTATATATAACACAAAAGTCTTACACCTATAGGTAGCTACGGCAACAATCCATGAGTTACAAAAGTCATACACGTATAGGTAGCCATGGCAACAGTCCATGAGCTACAGAAGTCATACATCTATAGGTAGCCATGACAACAGACCATGAGTTACAAATGTCATACACCTATAGGTAGCCATGGCAACAGTCCATGAGTTACAAGTCATACACCTTTAGGTAGCCATGGCAACAGTCCATAAGCTAGCATATATACCGCAAATGGTAGCAGACATATCGCATACCTTTGTGGTAACAAAGCTCTTCCCTCGAGCGGGCAATCCTACGCAGATGATGACTAATCGCCTGAGCAGAGAAAGAGAAAGATACACAGACATTCAGCAGAAGCATGCTACGGCAGTAATGAACCAGTATATCTATATCCCGTAATATGAAGCAATACGTAACGTAAGTCATATACGAACCAAATGTATACAATATACTGATATACATGCGTATGTGATAACAACTACATACATACATACACTTGTACATACATACAAATTTGTATATACATACATATAGAGTCGAGAAGCACTCACAGATGCGGGCATGTGTATGTGATACTACATACGTACACACATACACTTGTATGTACATATCAATTTGTATATACATACATATAGGTAAGAGAAGCACTCACATATGCGGACACGTGTGTGTGATAATACATACATACATACAGTTGTACGTACTACAGATTTGTACATACATATCAATTTGTATATACATACACATAGGTATGAGAAGCACTCACATAGACGGGCATGAGTGTGTGAATACCATGTCCACACATTTGTTTGTATATCTAAAAATAGATATTCATCTCCAGAGCACTTGCTCGCATTACCTACCTATCATTGAGGTTTCTGGTTGTGTCATCGGCTACGCGCACGGCTTTGGCATTCGGTGTAGCAGGCGTGGTTAACCTGCGTGCCCAACAAAGGTAGCGTGGCAATGGACAATTAAGGGGGACTAAGTCAGAAATATAAAATGCCATAGATGTACATTGACAAGACAAGCATTTGGTGTAGCGGGCGTGGTTAGCCTCCGTGCCCAACAAAGGTAGCGTGGCAATGGACAATTAAGAAGGACTAAGTCAGAATTATAAAATGCCATAGGTGTACATTGACAAGACAAGGACGACAAATCGGCAGGCCCAACCAAGGTAAGATAGCAACGGACAAATAAAGAGGAATCGTAGAAGCTATCAATAGATTCGGACGGGCCAGGGGCGGATAGCGTGCGCACGCAGTAGATAATATTCATAGAATTCTATACATAGATTCTGGCGATGAATGGTCGACTTACCTACCAACTTGATATAAATGAGGTGGTGGTGGACAATTAACTAGGAATTGATTAATTGAGACTGCACTATAAATAGATCCTGGCGTAACTTGATATTATACCAGGCGAACTAACATTGCAGTAATGGTGGTAGACAATTAATCAGGAATCGGGACGAGGACTTTCTGAAAACATGTGAAATGTAATTTTAGTGCGTAGATACTGTAGCAGGAGTGGTAAGGGTTACGGATAAACAAAAAGACGCACATCAGCAGTTGCAATTAAAATACTATAGACGTAACGAATAATACATTCACAGAAATATACGTAATACGCATATATTTATGTATATGTACATACATTCATGCATATTTATATATATATATATATATATAGGTATCTAGATATCATATTCGAATAGCATATTATTCACATACAACGCATTTCAGTTTGCGTATATAAACAAATATACTACATTTGACTAAAGCACCTATCCTAGTGAAACTAAAAGCGTATGCACATTCATACATAAATATAGAAATATAGTAAATACAATAACATGACAATCTTACAATCTAACAATATAAATACAATAATATATATTTATCAACATATAGTATATAATATATATATATATACAAAACACACACACGTATATATTTTATAAA